GCTCACGGAGGGTCTGAGCCCCCAGCCCCGGCTCACGGAGGGTCTGATCCCCCAGCCCCGGCTCACGGGAGGCCGAGCCCGCTGCCCTCCCCCGCCTAACGGGGTGTGATTCCCGCAGGTGTTGTTTTCCGGCAGTTTCGTCGCCTCTCGATCCCACAAACCGCACTCAGGGAGGTGTCGGAGCATCACCCCGGTGGCGCAGCTCGGGGTTTTTGTGATTTCCTTTCCCGTGCGGTAACTTGGATCACTGAGGGGAAAGCTACGCAAATAGTGGCGAGCAGGGTCACCACGAGTAACCCCCGGGGTACTGCACCGGTAAATGAGAACGGGCAGAGTTTGGGGACTGGCTGCTGACAGCACCGGTGCTGTTCACTGCAGCACAAGGTTCTATAGATGCGCCAGGAGGGAGTGGGAGAAGTCACTTATATTTCCTCAGGTGGGGCAGTGAAGTCATAGTTAATTTTTAGTTCTTGGTGTCGTTATTGAAGTGGGTTTTGGCCTTGCAGTCAGTGGGTGTGAGTGGAACCCAGGTCAGGGGGGTTTGGAGATGATGCACTGAAATCACAGAACTGACTCCAGTTTCAGTCACTGGAAGCTGGACTGTTTTCCTGTTACTTCCATTGTTCAGGCAACGGAAAAGTCATGATTTATTTTATAGTTTTCTCATTTGCAACCAGAGAAGGAAATATCAGATGGCTTTGTATAGGAAGCCTTTGACTGGGTAATCTGAGTTGTCGTATAAATAACTATAGACCTGTTTGGGCCTCGTGCCTAATGGCACATGTTAGTGCTGGTATCCTGGGAGAGGATCTGCATTTCATGCTATAACTATTTTAGTTATTAATACCTCTCCGTGGACACTGGTGCCAACCTCGTCTCGGACACTCCAAGCCTTTCCCAAACATGCTGCTCAGGTGGTTTCTCCTGCAGCTCCTGTGTGATGGCACTAAAGTACAGAGCAAATGGCATCAGACGTAGTTTTGGTTATTAGATGTCGTGATTTCGGCTATTTCCTGTGCGAAAGGCTCTGAGAAGCATCTGTGAAGACCTTTAGGTCTCACTGAAAGCAGCATTTTGTTTTCGAATTGTTGGCAGGGTTGGGGGCAACGTCCTCCCTCTCCCAGTGCCCGGGAGTCTGTCGTGTTTGCTGTTTGACAATGATGTGCTCCTTTGGATCGTGGAGTCTTTGCAGGAGAAAGTAAATCACGACTGGAGGGTGAGCCACACCTCAGGCATAATGAGAACTTTCCCTTACCCTCTCAGCCTGCAGCACTCAGTGTATGTTATAAATTCTTAATACTGTTTGATGATCCAAGTGATAATTTCTTGCAAAAGTAACGGTGACTGTTCCCGTCAGCATTAAAGGCGTTGAAGGCTGATTCAATTAATTTTTTTTTATGTTCTTTCTCCTCAATAATTTTTGCTTTTTATTGGTTGCCTTGGTTTGCACACCACAGCAGGCTGTAAATCTGAGCTGTGGGCTTCCCAGCATTTTAACTCAAGAAGAAATTCCAGTGGCACAGTTGGAGATGCTGTCAGCCAACACTTAGTGGGGGCTAAAATGTATTTTTGCAGCATGTGGGGTGGGCAGGGGTAGACACAACCTGCAAGAGGTGCAGTGTTAGCCCTGCACCTCCTCTGTCAGTCCCATTGCCCTGCTTTGCACTGGCTGCTCTCAGGATCCAGGGGCAATGAGAAATCGGGCAAGAATTGCCTATTGATGAAGTTTTCCAAGTCCCATGAGCGGGATGGTTCAATAATAGCAATAAGGAAGCTCATTCCACAAATACCAAACATGTTTCTTGTATGGTTTCCCACAAGACAGCACTTCTTGTATTGTGAAATACAGCCCATCATGGCACACTGGTGCCATATAATTCCAGGCAGAGGCAAACAAAAACATCTAGATTCTTTATTTCAGTTTCTTTCTAAGCAAGCTGCTGAATGCAGTGCAGTAGATAACAAGACTGCAGAGTTTTTCTAAGCTCTGTGGTGCCTCCTGGCACTTTGTACTTCTGGTGAGAAGGGTGAAATTCAGTATCTGCACAGCAGGAACGTGGTGCTGGCGAGTGCTCTGTTTCCTCCTGGGATATCCCTGCCTGGCAGAGGGCTCCTGGCAACCCCTTGGGAGTCTTGGCTGGCAGGATAAGAAACTTCCTGTACCCTGTGAGTGCCTCCAGCGTGTCCCTGTCTTATCAGGGGGCAGTGCTGGGTTTAGCTGTGCAGCTTCTGAACCCACAGCTCGTTATTTGACTCCAGAGATCCCTCAGAGAGGAGAATTCTTGCACGAGGAGTCTCTGGCCAGGACGTTCTTTCCAGAGACTTCCTTTCACATCCTGTTAATGTTACACTGCTCTTACCCCACCCACAGGATACCCCAGGTGAGAGGGGGGGTTTCTCAGCCCCCTGTGACAGCTGGGACATAACCCAGACTCTGAGTGTGCTGGCATTTGAGAGCTGACACTGAAATGTTGGCATCCTTAATTCTGCATAAATGCTACCTGGACCACATCCTGCCCTCAGCTGTCTTGCACAACTTCTAGAGACTAGTGAAAATGAAAGCAAAATTTGGCTTTTAATTTGACTTCTCATCTAAGCAGAATGCACTTGGCCAGAGGAGTAGTGCTAATAGTGGCTTATTTCAAGGAATATTCAACATAAATATCCAATTTATGCACTTTCTTTCACAGGCACTCTTGGTTTTAAAAATCTGAACATTTCTGCTCTTTTCCTGCAGAGGATACCGATGGCCTTGGTGTGTGTGGATGGATCCTGGTGATCACCTCGCTGGTTTTCACTGTTCTTACATTTCCCATATCCATCTGGATGTGCATAAAGGTAAAATTGTTCACTGCTAAGTTGGATTAAAGCTTTAAGCAATGCAGAGTGGTAATTATTGTTCTCAGTTTGAGTTACTTGTTTTCAACCCAAATTAATCCCACTCTGCTCTTTCTTGAACTGTAGCAGGCAGTGTGGAGCAGACCCAGCTCTTCAGTGCATTCATCTTCACACCAAAATAAAAGTGCTGTTACAATATTTTGCAGAATGATTCCTGCACTGACCTCTTTACCACATCTGCCCAGTTGTCATTAGCACATGAGCTAATTTGGGAGATCAGAATAATTGCAAGAACCCATAATTACTCTTGGAGTAATACTGATTTTTTGATACTTTGATTTTTACTTTTTTTAAGGAGATATGTCTAAGTATGAAGTATGGAATTATAAACATGTCAGTATGTCCATAGCTGTGGCTGTGTGTGAGACATTTGAAGACACTGTGTCATCTGTGATCACTTTGAGCTTGATGTTTCCAGTTCCCAGGCAGGAGGAGTTATTTCCTCCTGGTTTGGCATCAGAATTGGAGCTGTAAAAATCCCTGCTGGGTCACAAATACTGCCCTTTGTTGTGTTGTTGCCAGGATATTCCTGATGGCAGCTGCTGGTGCCTGGACCTGCTCAGGTGACATCCTGTTGATAGTCTGAAGAGTATTTCTTGTGGAATACTGTCCTGATTTTTCCTTTTGCTCTTTGCCAATAGAGTTTAGGCTAAAATTCTCAAGAGCAGTAGAGAAATATGTGTTAAATATGAGTCTCAAGATTGTCTTAGACTGGTGTGTGATAGTTTGGAATCCATCATGTGGCTTCTGGAAACCCTGGCATGACCCCCCCAATCTGTTCCAGATCATAAAGGAGTACGAGCGAGCCATCATATTCCGGCTGGGACGCATCCTGAAAGGGGGAGCAAAGGGACCAGGTATGGCCTGGGGGGCAGTTTGTTTGAATTAGTCATTGGCAAAGCAAGAGCTGTGTAGAGGCCTTGCAGTAGCTGGTGAATGGATTTCTCAAGAATCCTGTAACTTCCAGTAAGAGGATGTGTTACAACAGCAATTGGGCTCGTGGGTCCCTTCCCGCTCAGAGTGATCTGTGATTCATCCTTTATGTGCAGAAGGCAGCAAACTAATTATCTGTGAGCCTTGCCCAGCTCTGCTTTGGTGATGTGTGATGTGCAGGTGGAGTCAAAGGCACTGAATAGAAAGGGAGGAATAATGGCATCAAATGTATTTGGAAAAAGAAGTTTGATCTATCAGTTCAAACCCAGTTGGTCTGAGAGCCTTGATGCCCTTCAAAACTGACAGAAGCCATTTGATGGCTTTGAAAAGTTGCCTGTGTGTATTAGAAACTCTGAGACCTGCAAGAATGTTGCTTTCAGCTGTTGCTCTTGCTGCCCAGAGTAACAGAGAGGGGCCAGAGCTTCTTCCTTCATTTCACCCAGGTTTTGCAATATTCCACATTGCTGTAAAGCTCAACAATTTCAATGACCAGTGAACAAAAGGAGGTTGATACTTTCTGCTTGCCAGAATTAAGCCCCACAGGTAACTCTGTGGGGGGAGCATTTTTTAAAGTAGCTGTTAACAGTTTTGGGGTCTTTTTCCCAAATGTTAAAAATCTCTAAATAAGTGATACCTGGATAACCTGAAGTTTCTGCACACGTGTTTTTGAAAGCCTTACCCTGCTTTGGAAGCCATGACAAGTGTTGTGCTGCTGAGCTCCCCACAAAGAGCTGCACAGCCTCAGTGCTTGGACTTCACCTTATTTCAGTAGCAAGTTTCCTCCACTTTAATGACCCACTTTCACATCTTCTTGAACATATTTTTTGGTACAGGTTTGTTTTTTGTCCTGCCCTGCACAGACAGCTTCATCAAGGTTGATATGAGAACCATCTCTTTCGATATTCCTCCCCAGGAGGTGAGTTTGGGTCTGATAAAACACTGACAGAATTTTGTGCACTCTCTTTTTCCTTGTCCCCTCTCAGGATTGGGTAACATGTAGTTTAAACAGAGATTTCTTGTGCAGGTGCAATGTGTTGTGAAGAAGACACATATCCTTTGGAAATGTCATCCAGTAGGAGAAGGGCACTGAAGGAAAACAAGTGCTGCTGCCCTCTGAGGACCAAATGAGATAATTTAATATGCCTGAGAGCTGGGAGGGAGGGCTTTGGAACGAGGGCTGCTGGGCTTCATACAACATTCCCTAATTGCTTCTGTGAAATCTGGAAGGTTTCCAGATGCAGCAGTGATGTGTCCTGTGCCAATTTATCTAGATGTATGAACCAGCTAAAATATTGGGGTGAAACTGGTACATACATCAAATGCTATTTATAGCAACTGGAAGGAATGAGGGCACAGCTCCATTTGGGGCTTCTGTGCCCTGCCCTGCACAAGGACATGATGAAGGAGCTACCACACCTCATGGCATCTGATGCCTTTCAGCTTGAAGGTGCAAAAGAACAAAAAAAATTGCTTTAATTTCTAGTCTGTTTTTCCTTCAACTCCTTCATTGTGTAGCAGAATGTGTCAGAGCATTAACCCAGCTGAACTCAGGCTGCCAACTCCAGGGGTGACAAAGGAATAGAAACCCACTGGCCCTCTAAGAAATAAGTTAGTGAACAATTGTATCTCGATGGTTACAACTGTATCCCTCATGTATCTGGCGTGTTTTTCCAGCAGAGATGGTTGATGCAGCCTGTCTGGGGCATCTGTTTCCTGTCAGATTTGCTCCTTGGCTTGTTGCTCGTTGTTAGTTGTGGATTGAGACAAATGGCAGCTGTCCTGGTGCACTCTAAAGGGTAATTGGGAGAAACCTAATCACTGGCAGGCAGAATGTGCCTGCAGCTGCTGATGTGCCATTAGTGAAGCCTTCAGTAATCCAGTTTTTCTTTTGATTTGATTAAATTATGCTTATGGATTTAGGTTTGTGTTCCCTAGGTAGAGGCAGATATTTTTATGTGTTCAGCATGATTTCTGTGTGTGATGCTCGTTCTTCAGCTTGTGCTGTTATGGAAAGCCTGCTGAAAGAGGTGGTTTGGGAAGGGGCAGAGCAGGTAAGTCTTGAAGGTTGAGTCATTCACACATCCCACCCTCATCAAATAACAGAATAGGAACTGTCTGACATGGAATGAGGACACCCCTTCCCATGTTCCTGCAGCATCCTGCAATTCTTTTAAACTTACCTTTAGAGTGGAATTAATATCAGTGCATCTTTCTAGGGTCCCAGGTTAGACCTTCCCAGGTGAACTTGTGTTTCAGGGTAAAGAATTTCTGCTTTTTTGCCTTTTCCTGTCCCTGGTGTGACTTGCTGGTATGACTGTGAATTTGAAGAAGTGAGTTCAAAATAACATGATGGCAAAGCTGATGGAATGTATTTTTCACTGAGAAGTGTTCTAATTCCATACTTAGTCTCAGCTTTGCAGAGCTGTACTGGCAGGTTTGTGAGCACAAGGACTTTTGTTTTCAAGACAGTGGAAAAAGCAGGAGTTGGTCTAGTAAAACAAATAGGTAATTATCCTAATAATTAACATTGTATTTATTGGGTGTTCTCTGCTCTGCAGATCCTGACCAAGGACTCAGTGACGGTGAACGTGGACGGGGTGGTTTATTACCGGGTCCAGAACGCCACCCTGGCCGTGGCAAACATCACCAACGCCGACTCTGCCACCCGCCTGCTGGCACAGACCACCCTGAGGAACGTCCTGGGCACCAAGAACCTGTCTGAGATCCTCTCTGACCGGGAGGAGATTGCACAGTGCATGCAGGTACGAGCTCTGGGGATCCATCAAATGCCTGAGCAGCAACCCCAGGGACAACCTACAGGAGAGGATTTATTGTACCTTCTGAGTGAATAGCCAAGGGGTGGTTTGGAGCTTTAGGCAAAGCCCTGTTCAAGATCTCTTGGGATGACACTCCCTAAAATAAAAATGAAGGACTAAAGCAGGAAGGGACCAGTGGGAATGAGGGATACAGGAGGGGAGGCCTTCCCTGGATCATTGTGTCAGTTCTTGCTGTTGATGGAAATTATACCACAGAATTCCTTCAATAAATTAATGAAGCTCTGGGCTTTTGTCTTAGCTTACAACAGTTATGCTCTTATAATTATCAAATCATAACACAAGTACTAAAGCCCTTAAAGTCCAAGAACTCTAAGATAACTGATTTGGTTTAAGTGATCATTCTTCAAATGTGGGCATTAGTTTGAGTGGGGTGTGTGGTTTAACTTCCCTGTCCTGCCTTCTGCAGTCCACGCTTGATGAGGCCACAGATGATTGGGGCATTAAGGTGGAGCGTGTGGAGATCAAGGATGTGAAGCTGCCTGTGCAGCTGCAGAGGGCCATGGCTGCAGAGGCAGAGGCTGCCCGGGAGGCCAGAGCCAAGGTAAGGACACCAGCAGGGAGGTGGCCTTGGTTGGGTTTGGTTTTTTTCTTCATTAATTATTCGATGTGATGATGTGGGGGATGAAGGTGCTCAGCCAGATTGTGTTAAATATTAATTTTGATGCTTAATTACTTCATAACTTCTTAATTATTATTTATTGTGATGTTTAAAAGAATACTGTGCCCTTGCAGTAGGGCTCTGTAGGAGACTCTGCACTTGCCTGTGCTGACACACACCAGTAACTTCCTTGTTAAAACAGGGCCATCTCCAACCCACCTGTCCTTGACAAATACTCAGAAAATGTTTATATCCCAGTGCAGAAAGGTCACAATTCTGTCCCTGATGAACTCAGAACTTAAAAAAAGGAGGGAATAGAAAGGTATTTCCCCAGTAAGAAACACTCAATTCCTTCTTGCCCTTGTAGATACAAAAAAATACAGCTTTAAGGAGAAAGTATTCTCAGCTGTCCAGGGGCAGTGCTGCTGTCTGTAAGAGCTGAACACTGTTCATTTATCGGGGTCTTAAATGCTCACAATTCTGGTGAGGGGAAAGCAAAACAGTCCCAAACCCTCCAAAATAATTTCTTTAGTCAGAAGTCCATGTGCACAAGATGGCACAAAGGAGGTTTTGGGTTCTAAGGTGTGTTCCTTTCGAGGAGGTTCAAAGGTGGGATTTATAGGTGCTATTTAATGTTTTCTTCTTCATAACAAAGAAGAAAATGTTTTCTTCTGTTCTTCCTGTATTTCACACAAGCTTTATTGTGCTGAAAGAATCACAAAGGGTTTTGAAGGCAGAACAAATACTCCTGTGGCATTCTCAAGACTAGTGCTCAAAGACCCAGCTTTTGTGATCTGGCATTCTTGGGGTGGGACGAGACCAGGAGAAGGGAGGAAACCAAGAGTAAGGGCCTGGAAAGCCAACAGGAGCCTGGTGAAACACCCACCCAGGGGAGGTCACTGGCAGAGTGGGGAGCAGTGGCTCTGGTCCCTCCTGAGGGCTGTGCTGTGTCTCCCTGTGCCAGGTGATCGCGGCCGAGGGGGAGATGAACGCGTCCCGCGCCCTCAAGGAGGCCTCCATGGTGATCACCGAGTCTCCCGCCGCGCTGCAGCTGCGCTACCTGCAGACCCTGACCACCATCGCCGCCGAGAAGAACTCCACCATCGTCTTCCCCCTGCCCATCAACATCCTGCAGGGCCTCCTCCACCTCAAAGAGTAGGGAGGGTGGGAGCATCTTTGCAGCGCTGCATTCCTGGGCACTGCAGCTCCCGGCAGTGTTGGCAACGCGGGTTTGCTGAGGAACCTCTTCTGTTTTACTAAGTGTGTTATAAAACTTGTGTGTAGTGTTTGTGGATATGGACAATTACAATTATTTGAAGTTGAAAGCCTCTCAGAAGGAGTACAAGCAAGTTGTGATCTTAAATAAACTTTATCCAAACTGTCCTGGATGGGGCACCTCTAATCCGTAACCTCCCCTTTTCGAATAGTGTAGAAAAGGAGTTGTGGTAGAGGTGATCCAACATTTGGAAAGAGAATTATTCCCTGCAAGGGAAGTGGAACAGCCCTGACTGTATTCTCCTGGAGTGTAGCTGTATGTGATGGAGTCAGCAGATTGGTTCTCTGCCTTACACAAGGAAAAGTTGATGCAGGAGTGAGAATACTGTCCTGGGGACTTGTCAAAATCGGGTTCCTGCTCTCTAATCCAGTCCCCATTCATGAGAAACAGTTGTTGGTGGAACTTTCCATCTGTTCTGCCCCCCAGGAACGGCACAAACATGCCGTGGTTATGGACACAACGTGCTTGTGGTCACTGCTGGGCTGGTGTTGTTACAGGGCTGTGTCTGTGTAGAGTTGCGCTGCTTTAAAGCACTGAAAAGGGTCTGCCTTTATCTGTTTCTCTTAAAAAGGAATTTTTAAAAACCAAAGCACTGCGTTTTATCCAGGTCTAAAGCCTTCTTCCTGTAGAAGTCAGACGTCTGTAACTGGTGGGGTGGGGTGGTGTTTAACAGAGATGCTGCACTGTTGATACACCTGTTGGGACACAGGGGTTTTACCTGGTGGTGCTGCTCTGTGCACACCTGGAGGGGTTGTGGTGTCACTAAGGGCTTACATTTCATCCCAAAGCAGGTGAGCCTCAGCTCACACAACCCTGGCTGGCTGTTAAACTTTGTGTTTTGTACCTCTTTAGTAGATGTAATTACAGACTGAAATGAGGAGAATTGGAGTCTGCAGGGGGGGAGGCTCTTCAGGCTGCCACCAGCACTGAGTCTGGCACCTTGAACTTCCGGGAGGTGGCAATGAGACCAAAAAGCCAAGATCAGTGCTGTAAGTGCCCTTCTCACACTGGGCAGCATAAACCTCACAGCTTGGGGTTTGTCCCCTTTCTGCTATGCTCAGTTCTGTGTTTACAGGTGTTTTAGTACAGGCAGGGCCTGTCCAGCTGTGCCTTTGTCCCTGGCAGCAGATGCCCAAGTGCTGGTGCTTTCCTGCCTGTTTGCTGCAAAGCTTTTCTTTTCCTCTGCAGCACCAAAGCAATACACTCCTCTGTCAGTGCAGCACTTCATGTAAACTGAGTTTAACTTTTGGGTGGGAGAGGGAGAATCAGTTACCAAAGCTGGGCTGATCAGCTCTGCTGTGCTCAGAGGGGGTCCTTGGGGAACATGGTGACTCTGTAACTCCTGCTGTTGCTGCTGCAGGTGCCACCCCTGTGAATTGTTGTTGACACCACGAGATGCTTTTTGCTCTCCTCTGAATAAAAGATGTGCTGTTTACTAACGACTGACTGCCTGTAAGAGTTAACACTGTTCATTTATCGGGGTCTTAAACGCTCATAATTCTGGTGAGGGGAAAGCAAAACAGTCCCAAACTCCCCAAAATAATTTCTTTAGTCAGAAGTCCATGTGCAAAAGATGGCACAAAGAAGGTTTTGGGGTTTAAGGTGTGTTCCTTTCAAGGAGGTTCACGGTGGGATTTATAGGTGCTATTTAATGTTTTCTTCTTCATAACAAACCCCACCATTTCTGTTCTTCCCATTATTTCACACAAGCTTTATTGTATTAAATATAATCAAAGCAAGGAGGAGGGTCAATGACTGGTCGTGATTGTTTTCGGAAATTATTGCACAGCTAATTGGCTATTTACCATCATTCCCTCGTTAATGTGCATCCTGGAGGAAGGAGCTCTCGGAGGCATTGAAGGCACTGGACTTGCTCTGTGTCAAACCTGTTCTCAGACATCCACGTCTGCCATCGCTCTCTGCAGGGGATCCACAGCCCAGTAATCGTCATCCCAGCCCAGGAACCAGCCGGAGAAGGTGGGGGGCTCGAAGCCCTGTTTGATGATGGTCACGGGGGTCCTCTTGTCGCGGTTGGACGGGTCGGTGTCGATGTAGCGCTTGGCTGGGGGGAGGAGGGGACCTCACTGAGGGAATCGGGGCTAAATGGCTGCTCCACTTAACCAACCAACCACCCACCCTGTGGTTTGTAGAATGTGGATCTCCTGCCTCATGAGCAGACAGTGGGAAAGGGAGAAAGGGAGAGTTCAGAGAGGAAAATGTGACATTACCGGATTTCAGTGCCTCAGTCTTTTCTTCTTCTTGGGCGTCTTGTCCAATCCATACAAAGACCTAAAGAAAAAAATATGCATATTAATCATTTCAGCAACAATCTCTTTCTGAAGGGGTGATTTAGACAAAGTCTCAGTGACCAGAGGGTGACACAGACCCAGAACATCCCCGTGTTGGGTGTGCCTGGGGTGTTGACCCTGCGTGACCAAAGCCATTGCTTGATCTCAAGAAGCTTTTTGCCTGCATTTTATCTACAGAAATTGTAGATCTGTGAATGAATTCTGCACTAGTTTAACACCAGAGGAAAGTAGCAGATGTTTGAACATTTTTACATAAAACATTAAAACTCAGTAAGTTGCCTTGTGGCTGATTTATGCACAGTCTATTACACAACAGCACTGCTGTTGTAATTCAGATCTTGATCTAGAGCCACTCTGTGCCTGTTCTTTGCTCCTCTTGTCACCCTGTAAACGTGAGGTACCTGATCCCACGTGTCGAGGAGCATCACATCATCTGTAGCCAGGTCATCCTGAGTCAGATCTCCAGGGACTTCTTCAATCTGGAAAACAGAGGGTTAAGGTCAGCACAGGCTTCAAGCACCACTTTACCTGTACAGGAGAAATCCCACAAAGGAAGAGCAGGGGTGGCACTGATGGTGGGTGGCTCAGAGCAGCTGGGACTGAGGTTCTCCCAGCCTTGGCAGGGGGGTGTTGGGAGCTACTGATGTCAGAGACTCACCGTGAAGCGCCCGCTCTTGTTGGAGCAGGCGAAGAGCCGAGGAGGGTGCGCGTCCATCTTCTTGTCCTTGAGCCGGGGCGAGGTGCGGTACGGGGCCTTCCCACCCAGGGCTGCCCAGAAATTGTCTGCAAGAGAGAGGCTGGTGCTTCACTTGTTCATGGAAACCACAGCAGGGTTATGGTTCGACTCAGGCTCCCCTGTGACTCCCTCACCTGGCTCTCTGCCCTCAGAGACCTGGACTGGGCGAGCTCCCAGGACCTTCAGCAGCTCCTGCGCTCCCGATTTCTCGGCGTTGCTGGCTCCTTGGCCAACCCACAGGTAGGCAGCAGAGGGAGTCTTCAGGACAAAGGCATCGTTGGAGTTCAGCTGACTGGCAGTAGGATCCAGCTGAAAAGAAGGAACACTGCAGGTGTCAGATGTAACCATCCTCTACCCAGAGCCCATTAGTTCAAAATAAAACCAGAACCTATTGTTGAATAAACCACAAACAAGACACTCCTGTGAGCATGTAAGGCTGTAAGATGTGTGTTCCCTGTATCCAGGTGATGAGTTAGACTTGCCACATGGGAAGAGCAAACAACTGTTTCTCTGTGATCTGCAGGTGCACAGGACATGCAGTGCCTGCTCTGTCATTTTGCCAGTCTGTGGCCATGGCAGGAGATGCAGGATCTCACTGGGCAGCCCATGGCAGAGCAGTTCCCTGCTGGGACACTGCTCAGTCACTCACACCATCTCCTCTGTGCCAGCAAGGACAGGCCATCTTGAAGCTGGAAACTTGGAAGTTACTGCAGTCATAAACCAGCACCCTCACCTCCCCTGGACCTGTTCACTAGGATTTAATCTCCGTGCTGTTGCACAGGGTTTTGTGTGCATTTTCTTCCAGAGGAGTGGGACTCTGAACCCGTGTCCTGGCACAAATTCCATGGGAATTTAGCTCTTCCTGCCTTCTGCATTGTTGTCACACAATGGGCTCAGCACAAGTCACAAATGTTCCCATCAGGGCCTGTCCAAACAACCCCAGAGTTGCTCCCCTTGCACGTACCTCCACAGCTCTGGTGGCTCCGGAGGTGCTGGATCGGACCTGGAAGAGCCGCGTTTCCGCGGGCGCCGTCTGCCCTCCTTCCCTCGAGGTTCCCCCCTTGTACACAATCAAGGGCTTGCCCCCAAACATGCTCATCAGGTGAGGTGGCTCCTTCCCTTGCACTACTCGTTTCTGCAGAGAAAGAAACGTGCTCTCAGTTTGGAGCAGCACAAGAGGTACCAGAAATGGCCTTTGCAGCTGGAATATTCACACAGCACCCAGCTGGGGGTAGGAGTGTAATACAGGTATTATTTATTCCCACAGAGTTGGGGTTTGGTTTCTGCTGGGTTGTGTTTGTTCCTTTACCTGCACAGGGGTGCCTCCCAGCTCCTCATCCAGCTGCACCGTGAGGAAGGCAGAGGTTGCAATCTCATCCTGAGTGGAGTCAGCTCCCTGCCTGGGAGACAAGGCCAAATTCCAGCTTTATTTTCAGCCCTTCCAGACACACACACCTTACAGAGATCCAGAGGAGTTAAGGAAAACCTGTGTTACCAAACCTTCATTCAATAATAAGAGGACATTGGTTGTCCTGTGTTGCAGCACAGGGATTACAGGGGGAGACAAGAACCTTTGCTAGAGAAGCAGCACAGATTCTTCAGGATTTCCAGCCCAGTCTCCCGTTCTTTCCAGCAGCCAGTTTAAGAACTCAGCTGTTGGTACTGGGATCAGGAATTACATGTGCAGTCCCTGGGCAGGCTGTGCCCCTTCTGGGTTCACTCAGAGGTTCTGCCTGTGCCCTCTGCTTGTTGAGGAGCAGCAAAACCACCCCTGTGAGCCTGGCTGGAAAATTCCTCCATAAGGACACGGGCTGGGAACTGTCCCAGTCACAATAACAGAGTATCAGAAGTTCCTTACAGTGATCTCAAAGATGTGGGAACTCTGCAAAAAGCAGCAGAGCTTGATCCAAAGAAGGGAGTAACTACTACTGGCAGGGAAAAAAGCTAAAAAAAGCTAGCACAGGAATTCCCTCCATTGTTCCACTTCAAGTGAAACATCCCACACCTCTGGGGGAGTGTTTTGTTCGCAAGGGATGCTTATCCAGGGTGAAATTTTACCCCCCAAGGTTCCTCTGTCAGTGGGGAGCAGCAGTGATCCGTTTTCCAGAGCTCCCTCACCAGGTGTAGATGATCTGGCCCCTCCTGCCGTCGTGCTGGTAGTCGTACAGGATGATGTAGCTGTCCCCGCCGTAGAACTGCCCGTAGGTCGCGGGATTCACCGGCACCTTCTCGGAGCCTTCTATTCTCCAGATCTGGGGCGGGAGCAGCGGAGATGCCTCATCAGTTAGAGCCTTTCTCCCACTCCTGCGTTCCCCAAATCATGCATTCCCCAAATCCCACGTTCCTCAAATCCCGCGTCCCCCAAATCCCGCATTCCCAAATCTCGCATCCCCGGAATCCTCCGTTCCCCAAATCCCGCATCCCTCAAATCCCACATCCCCAAATCCCGCATCCCCCAAATCCCACATCCCCCACATCCCGCATCCCCAAATCCCGCATCCCCCAAATCCCGCATTCCCCAAATCCCGCATCCCCTCAAATCCCGCATTCCCAAATACCACATTCCCAAATCTCTCATTCCCAAATCCCGCATCCCGGCGCTCGCGGGGCTGCAGCGCCCCCTGCCGGGCCAGCGCCGACAGCGCCCCGGACCCGACAACGGGACAATTCCCATCCCTGTCCGGGGAAGGGAGCTCCGAGGCTTCCCGCGGGACTTCTGAACAGCCAAAAACCTTGGCCGGCACCTCCGTGGGCTTCCGGAGGGCGCTCAGCCCTTTCAGTGCCACCTCCAGCCCTGTTTGGACGGGCACAGGGTGGATGGGACAGGTGCTCCCACAGAATCACCCCCCACACGTGATGGCAACAGGTACAACAGGAGGAGGAGGTACAGGAGGAGGAGGAGGAATGAGGGAGAATTTCAGTGCTGGGAAACTGTGGGATCAGAATTAACAGAATCACCACCACTTACCTGCAGGGCTCTGCAGACCCTGCTGGCATTTCTGGTGTTAAACATTGCCCCAGTGTTTACAAAAGCTCAGTGCTGAGGTGGCTCTCAGGCCTCCGTTTGTCCCGCTGCTCTTGCAGGAATGCCACCCAGGGGTAAAGAAAAGTTTGGGAACCTCCCCAGAGGGGTGCTGGCACTGCTGACCTGTTTGTTGCCCGTGCCATCATCCTCCATGCCGTGCTGGGCAGCCATGGCCCTGGAGCTGTGCAGAGTGGCCGCGTCGAAAGGGACCTGCTCGATCTTTGCAACGTGACCAGAAACATGGGCCTGGCCCAGCCCCTCTGTCTGGTCCTTGTCCCGCCAGTTCTTGAAGAATTGCTTGAACAGAGGTGTCTCACCGCTCTCAGGGAGGACTTGGATCTGAAATGAATGAGCCTTTAGAAGCATCTCCCC